AAAATACCTAGGCTGAAGAATTTTATTTAACACTTCCGATTTATCCACTTCTATGTTTTCAGCTTTGGTGATTTTAACTGTAGTTGGATGACCAACAGGAGCCGATTTGGATCGCTAAAAACCAAAGTAAATAATACTATTACATCCAGAATGTGTATAACTAAATAAATTTTGTGATCATTTTCCGCTAGACTATATGCCACAAAGTTATACCATATTTCTGCACATGCAAGAGTGTGCTGAGTGGAGGATCATCGAACAGTCTCAAGAAGCGCGAGCTTGGGGTCTTCAATTGTCAGGTGACTTCAAAAGTTAGCAGCTTGAAAAGGAGATACATTCTGTGAACCTCTGGCACAGATAATCTCGTCAAGACAATTTGTCGTAAATAGCATATTAAAAGGTTCCTTTTTGACCGTGAGAAAATGTCTTATGTAATAAATAATATTTAAAATTCTGTGCATTAACGTACCTACTATCCAGATAGATAAATGCAGTTGATCTTCCCTTGCAAACTTTATCAAGTTCTTAACTGTTTGTGTTTGGTATGGTTGGCGTTTTTAGTGTCACTTTTTGGCAATGGAAACGTTATGTAGTGAGTATTCATGTATTAAATCATTATGTTATGTACAATAAGCGCTGTTTTATTGTGGTGGCACTTTTTATTCATATACGGCAACAACGCGATCTGCGGAGGGGGATGCTTCCGGAGAGATCTTTTATTCCTATTTAGGTGTTACTAACGTGAAGAAAGCCCGGAAAATATGTGGGCGAGCGCAAACTCACGAACAATTACCGGTGTTCGGTACTTTTGGTACACTCGAATATTAGTGGGCTACGATCACTGGTTATTACAACTAACATTAAGGACCCATTCAAAACAGTAAAATCCATCTGTATTTTACGTTAAATAAAATAGTCTCACGCTGAAGAAACCAACAACGAGTTGTATAACTTTCCCGGCTTCGCCATGAAACTTTGCAACACACACTTTTATCGGATTCCACTCGGACAATATATAGTCATTATAGAAAAATTACCTAGGACAAAAATCTAAATCAACTAAATACATATTTTTATTTAGTTTTTTAAAAAAATATTTATTTGGTTAATAATTATCTAAAATAAAATAGTGTGTGGCGCCATCTGTTACGAGATTTTATTAAAAAAATAAATTATGTATTATTATTAATTATCAGAATAGCGCAAATCTGCGTAATCGTCGATTTAGCGTTAATAGCATTATTAATTTATTTTAATTATATTTAATTTTGTCAATAAAAGTCATATACTTTAATACGTTATAAACTGCGATAAATGAATATTAATTAATTAATTACCTGTAATTTTGTCACATCGTCGCTTTTCTCCGTAATGAGGATCGGAGTGTCATATTTTACTAACGAGAAAGATTCGATAAGCGAAGAAGCCATTTATTTACTTATTTTTTCTCCAAAGTTAAATCGAATATTTTGTTTCTATCGCCGATCGATTGTTTATTTTCTGTTGCTATGGCGACTATAGCTATGGCGACTATAGCGAAAGAAATGTATTTTTCAAAGTCTTTCGAAAAAAAAAAATTTTTAAAAATTGAATTTAATTTAAATATTCTTAAAACCATGCTAATTTTTCAATAAATAATAAAATTGGCAAATTAAAAATTGGTATTTGTTCAAAATTTTGGGCAAATCAAATTTTCCCATTCGCCCATGCTCTTAGTGATGGAAAGAGTTAAAAACTGAAAAGTACAGTCCCCCCCCTATAACACTGTAGATAATTCCGTGTTATATGAATTCCATGTTGTACGAGTCACTTAGATTTTACAAATACGTGTGTCGGGCTGTGAACGGATCACGTATTTGTAAAATCTAAGTAACTCGTACAACATGGAATTCATATAAAACGGAATTATCTACAGTGTTATAGGGGGTTGACTGTACTTTTCAGTTTTTAACTCTTTCCATCACTAAGAGCATGGGCGAATGGGAAAATTTGATTTGCCCAAAATTTTGAACAAATACCAATTTTTAATTTGCCAATTTTATTATTTATTGAAAAATTAGCATGGTTTTAAGAATATTTAAATTAAATTCAATTTTTAAAATTTTTTTTTTTTTCGAAAGACTTTGAAAAATACATTTCTTTCGCTATAGTCGCCATAGCAACAGAAAATAAACAATCGATCGGCGATAGAAACAAAATATTCGATTTAACTTTGGAGAAAAAATAAGTAAATAAATGGCTTCTTCGCTTATCGAATCTTTCTCGTTAGTAAAATATGACACTCCGATCCTCATTACGGAGAAAAGCGACGATGTGACAAAATTACAGGTAATTAATTAATTAATATTCATTTATCGCAGTTTATAACGTATTAAAGTGGTCTTAATATATGACTTTTATTGACAAAATTAAATATAATTAAAATAAATTAATAATGTTATTAACGCTAAATCGACGATTACGCAGATTTGCGCTATTCTGATAATTAATAATAATACATAATTTATTTTTTTAATAAAATCTCGTAACAGATGGCGCCACACACTATTTTATTTTAGATAATTATTAACCAAATAAATATTTTTTTAAAAAACTAAATAAAAATATGTATTTAGTTGATTTAGATTTTTGTCCTAGGTAATTTTTCTATAATGACTATATATTGTCCGAGTGGAATCCGATAAAAGTGTGTGTTGCAAAGTTTCATGGCGAAGCCGGGAAAGTTATACAACTCGTTGTTGGTTTCTTCAGCGTGAGACTATTTTATTTAACATAAAATACAGATGGATTTTACTGTTTTGAATGGGTCCTTAATGTTAGTTGTAATAACCAGTGATCGTAGCCCACTAATATTCGAGTGTACCAAAAGTACCGAACACCGGTAATTGTTCGTGAGTTTGCGCTCGCCCACATATTTTCCGGGCTTTCTTCACGTTAGTAACACCTAAATAGGAATAAAAGATCTCTCCGGAAGCATCCCCCTCCGCAGATCGCGTTGTTGCCGTATATGAATAAAAAGTGCCACCACAATAAAACAGCGCTTATTGTACATAACATAATGATTTAATACATGAATACTCACTACATAACGTTTCCATTGCCAAAAAGTGACACTAAAAACGCCAACCATACCAAACACAAACAGTTAAGAACTTGATAAAGTTTGCAAGGGAAGATCAACTGCATTTATCTATCTGGATAGTAGGTACGTTAATGCACAGAATTTTAAATATTATTTATTACATAAGACATTTTCTCACGGTCAAAAAGGAACCTTTTAATATGCTATTTACGACAAATTGTCTTGACGAGATTATCTGTGCCAGAGGTTCACAGAATGTATCTCCTTTTCAAGCTGCTAACTTTTGAAGTCACCTGACAATTGAAGACCCCAAGCTCGCGCTTCTTGAGACTGTTCGATGATCCTCCACTCAGCACACTCTTGCATGTGCAGAAATATGGTATAACTTTGTGGCATATAGTCTAGCGGAAAATGATCACAAAATTTATTTAGTTATACACATTCTGGATGTAATAGTATTATTTACTTTGGTTTTTAGCGATCCAAATCGGCTCCTGTTGGTCATCCAACTACAGTTAAAATCACCAAAGCTGAAAACATAGAAGTGGATAAATCGGAAGTGTTAAATAAAATTCTTCAGCCTAGGTATTTTTTCGCTTTGCTATAATCTTACTGTTATTTATGACTAATAAATTAAATATTTGTAATAAAGGAAAATAGAAGATAATGGACATATATTGATTCAACATGTCTCAAGTAGCCCAGCAACTACTGGAGATGTTCTCAATTTGCAAGAACAGCTAGATCAAAAGTTGGTTCAACAACAAGCACGAGAAACTGGTATTTGCATGATTAGAAGGAAATTGTATGACCAGTGCTTTGGTACATTTAAAATTCTTTGGTAGTTTAATAAATGTTCCTTTAAAAAAAAAACAAGTTGTGTGTGATTTTACAGATGAACTCATTCGTCAAATAACAATCAATTGTGCTGAGCGTGGATTACTGTTGTTAAGAGTTCGGGATGAATTTCGCATGACTTTAGCTGCTTGTGAAACACTTTACGAAAGTAGCATAGCCTTTGGAGTACGCAAAGTATTGCAGAGTAAGCAGAATAAGTTGGATACAGAAGTAGAAGTAAGTTTATAACATCTAGATAAACTAGTGTAATAAAACTTCCACTTTTCAAATTAAAAATAAACTAAAATTTTAATTTAGATGGAAAAACTTAAAGAAGAAATTGAAGATTTAAATCGTCATATAGCAGGACTCAAAGTAAAATGTAGTGATATTGAAAAGAATGTTAGAGAACAAGAAGAAGAAAATGAAAAAAAATTTTCATCTGAAATTCAGTCTTTAAAGATAAATAATCAACAGCTAAAGGTATGCAAATTTAGATTATTAAAGTGAAATATTAAGTTATGTTTGGACAAAATAATCAGAATTTCTTCTTTTTCTTTATTTCAGAATAAATTAAAAGGAATAATTACAGCCAGAAAACACTAATCTGTGTGTTTTCATCCATTTTAGATGTAGTTGTTAATAAGATTTATATTTTTTAATTTTTGTAATAAGTTACAATAAATACAGAAGTGCTTTATTTTTATTATTTCTAAATTTAAAAAAAATAGGTCTCTTCTAAATGGAATGACTAGGAATTTATTTCAACTCATAACATTCATATGTACAATAGAAAAAGATCCCAATACATATGCCATACATCATATCAGTTCCAGTATTAGTTCCAATTGAAGCCATACAGTTGGTAAAACTAACAAAAAATTACATAAAATTGTTTCTATCCAACTACCAATCACAAACAGTAAAAAATTAAATTGGTATTTTATTTTTTCCTTAAATATAAGGAATTGTTTAAGAAATTTCTTTCAATATAAGAAAGTATACTTAATTCTACAGTACAAGGAAAAGTCAGTTTATCATAATTCTGAATGTTCATCTAAATTTACATCAGTGAGATCAATATCTTCTTCTACTGGTAACTGAAAAAATTGAAAACATATTAGTTATTTAGTATATTTTAATTTGATTATACATGTATGTTTTGAAATTTATGATTAAATATAAATACAGTAATACCCCGAACTTACGTGATAGGTGGGACCAAGCGATAACCGCGTAAGTCGAATTCACGTGAGTCGGGGTATAATTACCCAATTTGTGTAAAATCCAAGTCGGATGTATGTAAGCTAATAAATGTTCTTGTTAATTAATCTTATCTCGTCTTTTGATTCGTTTACGGTTACAAGAAATCACCACATAGAGTCTCTCGAGTCTCCGTAGATATAACAAACACAGAAATAAATAACACAAAATAAATTGTAGCTATGTGTCGATTTCACGCGACACGTCCGAACATGTAAGCTGAACAATAGTGTGGGGGAGTGTGTAATCAAGAGTTGCATGGCGCTCAAACAAAAGACGAATTGACGAGATTTGAAAATCGCGTAACTCCAGGTTCGCATAAGTCAGGATAGCGTAAGTCGAGGTATTACTGTACTGTAAAATTGTTTTATGTTAAGAAAAAAATTTAATTTAGATGAATGAAAGTTTTCTGGTTCAAAGAACTGGAACAATTTTTTACTGTTATTTTCTAAAGATATCAACGATCTTTTAAAATAAAAACAAATCGTTTAATTTCATCATTCTTCCATCCAAAAAAAATATTCTTAGGGGTTCTCGTATTAAATAATAGATGCATTTTAGTTCTATTCTGAATGTAAATTAGTTATCATATTAAATCAAAACACAGATATTTAATTTTAATTCACTACAACAAAATTTTACCTTTATAAAACTTGTAAAATTTTCATTTCATTGCCACTTGATGTTCTTTAAAGAACATCAAGTGGCAATGAAATTAAAATATAACCAATCATCAATTTATGTATATTTGCAAGAATAGCTAGATAAAAAGTTTTCTTATTTTCACAACTCAACTGTTTAAAAGTATTTGAATTAAATTCATAGAAAAGAAAGGTATGTGAACACATTTGTATAAAATATAACTTCATAATCAATTTAATATTTAGTTTTAGTTTATTTTTAACATAAAAAAAACTTAATAAAAGAGAAGACAAGAAGGTTTGTCTGATATTTGTTTTAGGATTAATGGATGAACAACTAATGATCTCTATTGTAGAAGTGAAATATTTTTTAAAATCATATTCGACCTCCAGATTCAAACAAAATTCAAAATAATCCAATTTCAATTAGATTAATAAAATTTTTTATCTCAAAATTCTGACTTCATATTCTTATACAGTCCTTCCAAGAATAATAGAACATACAGTGATTGTCTAGAAAATCTTTATTTTCATGTAACTTTGATGAAATTTTCTAGTACATTTGATAACAAAATATCAGCAATTATTGCATAAGTTTGGAGAAAAATGATTAATAAAGAAAAGAGTTAGATATAATTATCAAAAATAGGATATCTAACATAAATAGGCATGTACTGATTGGAATTAATTACAAAGAAAGTAATGATTGGAATCCAAAAAATATGATCAACAAGTGAAAAGAAAGGTTTTGTAGATTACATAATACCTTACTATTAAAAATGGGGACAAGGAAAGGACCCTGAGAGGAAAATTGATGTATTTCACCAGAAAAGAAGTAAAATAACTTAAATTGTTAAAAATTTGGGAAGACTTTATGCAACAATCTCAAAGTACCTCAATAATAAGGAGCAATGAACAGGAGAACAAAACAGTTCAACAACAACTAGAGAACAATATGCAATTGTTCAACATGCACTGCAAAGAAACACATCTGTTCAAAAAATCAAAAATGAATTGAAGCTGAGCTGCAGTAAATCAACAATACACAATGTTTTGAGATCAACAAACAATGTTTCTTTAATCAAAATGAAGACAGGCAACCAACTCAAGGAGAAACACAAACAACCTCAATTACAGTTTGCCAGAAACAACTTTGAAAGAGGGGAAGGATGGTAAAAAGTAATTTTCTCAGATAAGAAAAAGTGGAATCTCAACAGACCTGATCGGTTTAAGTATTATTGGGCAGACAAAAGACTTGATCAGCAAAAGGTACAGACAAAAGCAGTACTCAAAGGGAGTAGCTGGTGGTGGTACACTCATAACTTGGACGGGGATTGGATAGAATGGAAAGACAGATCTAGTATTTATTGAAGGTCAAAACAACTCTCAAACTTTTTTTTTTTTATTTTCTTTTTGAAACCATGTCCTGCTTTTTATTTGTGGCATAGTAAACACTAGTATTGTGTTTTATTCCAAAGACACATGGACTCAACTAATAAAGGAATTTGATGGAAAATTTGCCATGTGTCTTTGGAATAAAACACAATACTAGTGTTTACTACGCCAGAAACTCTCAAACTTATTAAGAGCTTGTCTGAAGGCAACTGCAAACTTATGGACAGAATATTGCTGGACTGAATTCCTACAGGATAATGAAAGCTTCCATGTATCAAAATCAACATTATACTTTTTCAGACCAAGGTCTGACTTTTGGACTGGCCACCCCTCAGTGCAGATTTAAACCCAATTGAAAATCTTTGGGGTGACTTGTTTTCCAAATGTGGAATAGCAGTGGAAAGCAATACAAGACTGTCACTGAACTAAAATTGAGGCATGGAGAAATATTCCCTAAGAATGACTGAAATCTTTGATTAATTCAATGTCTAATCGTATTTTTCAGCTTGTTTCCAAAAATGGTTGCATAATCAGCTACTAATTTTAATTTAAAGATATCATAAGTCAAAATGTTCTATTAATGTTGGACATTCTATTTTTGCTAATAATATCTAGCTCTTTTGTTTATTAATCATTTTTCTCCAAACTTGTTGCAATAATTGTCGATATCTTACTATAAAATGTACTAGAAAATTTCATCAAAATTACATAAAAATAATAATGAGTTTCTAGGCAATCACTGTATGTTCTATTATCGTTGGAAGGACTGTATTAAATGATATATTTATATTAAAAAACTAGTTTATTTAAATGTCTTAAAAGTAATTATCAAATTATTTATATTTACAATGTTTTTTACTAGTAAATTGTTTTTAGTTCTATTGTTAACAGATATAAAAATTATATAATGATGTTTTACCTCTCCATCTTTACCATCCCAAGGTTCGGTTACATGAATTTTTGGTAATTTTGCTCCTTTCACAGGTGCACTAGCTCCTCTACCAACAGATACTTCCCTAAAATATTTTTATTTTAAATTTTTTGACAACATATTTATATTTGAAAACAGTTATTAATTTTCTTTCGAATTACCTGAGAAATTCATTAATGCCATCATAACTAAATGAACCTCTTAAAAGCGAATATTTCATTTTACGAATATTAACTATAGCCATTGCCTAAAAAAGAAAAAAAAAATAGTAATATACCTTATATATTAATAATAAAATATTTTATGTAAATAATAATGAATTCATTAGTNGAAACTAATCTATATCGAAAAGCAGAAACAATGGCAATAACAGTTAAGTGTGAAGAAATTATATTAAAAAATTGTTTCAATGTTTTCATCATATAATAGTAATGATATTACTGTTAGGGTTTAGAAATGAATTCCAAAGATGCATGGGCAACTCATACTTTGGCTCACGTTTATGAAATGGAAGGAAGAGTTACAGATGGTATCAGTTTATTTAGTTCTACTGAATCAGATTGGGTGGTAAGAAAATATATTAACTCTGGAATAGATTTAGCCTTGTCATTAATCTAAAGAATAAGCTATGCTCATTGAATGATTTACTTTGATTTGGAAGCTACCTATCAGCTAGTTAGCCAAATAATTCTTACTGTGCAGTCATGTTACCAAGAACAATGAAAAATGAGTATGTGAAGAGGGTGGACAGATTTGAGTGTCATGAAAAATATGTATTAGTAGATTTTATATATATATGTAAAATATGTTAACATACATACTTAATTGTGGGAATTGATTATTTATTATGTTATGTAAAGATTTACTTAACTTTTACAATTAACACAAAACTGTAGCTCAATTTAAAATTGCTATACAATATTATAAGATTTTATCTTTGTCAAAAATATTCTGTAACTATTAGAATAAACTTTGTTTAAATAGTCTAAATATAGACTATCCAGATCTGTTGTTGTTTCTTTGCTGATCTACAGAATATATTTTGATCATTGAAAATCAGCTAGTTAACATAGCTGACAGTTTACTGATGAAACTTGTGTAATCAGCCCTAAATTTGTACAAAATATGACATGTGAAATAAGTTTTCCAAGAATCAATACAGCTGTAAAATTGAAAGATCGATTATTATATTTTAACAATTATAAATTTGCTTTATGTGGTACTATTAATTTATGGTTAGAATTTATAGTACAGTATTTTGGATATTCTTTTATTGTCATTAATATTATCAAGCTGTTTTGCTGCTATTAATATTAAAAATTTTTCTACTATAGTTTATACATTTCAATATTGTAATATTTTTTTTGAAATATTTTTAAAAATTCTAAATGATTTTAGAATTTTTATATAATTCTTACAAAATTATCCTTTAATTGTATTTTATCTTTAAAATTATTTATTTAGTCTTGTGGAATGTTGGCCACTCACAATTTTTGGCATTGGTGTCTTTGTTATATTGAAAAGGTAAGAGTTTATTATTCAATATTATTTTTTAGATGAAAGTATTAATCCTTTATTTTTTTTAAAGGGTGAATATGAGTTAGCTTTTGATATATTTGATCGAGAAATAAGCAAAAGAATGAAAGCGGGAACTATGTTAAATATTGTTGATGCCACATCACTTTTATATCGGTTGGAACTTGAAGGTAATTTATTAAGATATTTAATTGTTCTAAGTCATTAACCACAATATAAATACAATCATAACACAGAATATATGCTTGATTAGATCTAATTTATGTCTACTCATGAATTGTTTTTGTTATGTTATATGTTTGTGATTCTTTATCTAAAGTTTTTAATAAATTTTCAGATAAAGAACATTAAAATAGTTCTCCCTACACAACCCAAAATAAAAAAAATTATGTACAGCCCGACAACATATTAAATAATAAAGTTTAATAGAGTCATAATTAACGCATTGACTATCATTGTGTTATTGGATGAAATGCTCTGACACCCTTCTCAACTAGGCACTTAATACATGTTAACAAATTCAGTTTTGCATACCAGGTGCAGTACTCAATTTATAATATTTATCAAAAGCTTATTTTTGCAAAAAAAAATACTAAACCTGAAAAAAATATAATCAGTCCATGCCAAGTATATACAAAAGATTAAAAAAATATATTATTATTATTCTCCAGTATGACAATAGAAGTTAATTCTCTGTAAAGAAAAATGTTTCTTCAAAATATCACTAATAAATACATTTTTTATGAGTTTTAATTAATGACTGTTTCAGTTATTTCTATTATTCTGGTAGCATAGCTTACTTCTCAGTCATATTTCATAGGTCAACTGCCTGTCATTTACATCTGTTTACTATGAATAATCATATTTTCATTTCTGGAACTAAATTCAAGACCACATTTAGAGAACTCATAGGTGGTATTTGGTAATATTGCCAACCATGATTTAACTTGTTTTCAACAGTCAATGTATTATTATTTTTCTTGTACTGAGATTTATAACATCTAATTTATAGTCAAAAAATAAATGATCCATGAGACAAGATTTAAAAATGAAAATTGTTTTGAAATGTTTGTTTATTTTGTTGTAAATAGAAATTCAAGAGATGCTTTTTTCTGTGAATATAATAAACATTTTATTTTAATACAGGACTGAACTAAAAACTATAATAAAAGGTTTTCATAACATCACATATCAATATTTTAATAATACAATTATAAAAAGTTTCTCATTTTATTAATGTTAATGTTAAATATTATAAATAGGATGTAACGTAAAAGATCGTTGGAACGAAGTTCATAATATATGTGCTCCTCATATTGAAGATCATCTTTTAGCCTTCAACGATATTCATCTTTTAATGTCTTGTCTGGGAGGAAAGCAGGAAGAAAGCCTACAAAAATTTTTAGACACTATTGAATTAGGAAGGTGCTTCATTTTATTAATTTAAGTTAATAAAATATATTATGAGAATGTTTTGTAGATACATTGATCATTTATACTCAATTAATATTAATATATTTTTAGGAGTAATAAAGTTTACAATAATACTTGGAATATACAAGAGAAATTATGCAAGGCTTTTGCTGCATATAATGATGGAGATTATGAAACAACCGTTAATCTATTACATCCAATAAGATATGAAATCTTCAAAATTGGTGGAAGTCACGCACAGGTACAGTACATTTTGAAGCTTACATATTTTACATTATTATTTTAACATAATTTCACAAATGATTTCCTTAAATTTTTCATTATTTAGCGAGATGTACTTAACTTGTTATTGATTTCTGCTGCTATTAAATCACCTTTAACTGTTCATCATAAGATTGCAAGGTACAGTTATAAAATTTTTGTAATATTACAAAAAACATATTCTTTTAACTTTAAATATTTTTTTTTTCCTATAGAAATTTATTAAT